CCATCTGGACGAGTGGCGGTCTTCCACCGTGCGTTTTTTATGGCACTTTCTTCCACGCACAACCATTCTTTGGAATCGACTTCCAGCAGCAGTATTTCCGAACCGATACAACATTGTAACCTTCAAGAAAAGAGCATATACCTTTTTAAAAGGCCGGCAGCACACCTGCAATGCCGTTGGTGTTGCGGGTGATCATGGGCGCCGGTAGTCACTTAGCATCAGGTGAGCTGCATGTTCGTTTGCCCCCTGTGTTGTAAAAAAAAACCTGGCATAAACTAATTGTTTCACCCTGACCATCTAGAGGGATGGCAGTCGTTCTCGTTCCTGTGGACACTTCCTTCCATGCACAATACTAGAACCAATTCTCTTCAACAATAATAATTCATAGCTGTTTGACATTCGACATCAAAGACAATTGACAGTTGTCAATTGTCTTTGATTTCACATGCTGTATGAATGAATGAATGTTGTAATGTTATCCAATATAAGTTAATTTTTTTTTTTATAAGTGATAATGAAATAGTAACCCCACCCGCGCTATCGGTATACACCGGCGGGGCACCAGTGAAGGGTGATAGGTGAGGACGAAGCAGGTCAGTTAGAGCCCATCGTGACGAATTCAACGAGAATTATTCACGATGGTTTCCAGGGGAAACCACATGGAGCTTGACCTGATAGGGCATATTGCTAGCAATGGGGCTGTCAAACTCCATTGCTAACAATCCCTTCCCCCTATTAGTTAATATTGGATAGCATTACAACATTCACTCTAAGCCGTGTGGTCCCAGCATAGACTGAGCTACCCCTTCCTTTCCCGTGAGTGATTAAGAGCCGACTAAGGAAACTTAAGCCAATCTGCCTATCAAGCGTGGCATCTACTGGCACAGTACCATTCGCTTCTATCACAAGGTACTTAAGTCCTCTTTAACAGTAATATCAACTATAATTTCATATCACCATCATCATCATATCAGCCTTTAACTGTCCACTGCTGGACATAAGCCTTCCCCTTGGGGGGTTTTTCCAGTAGTTACCATGCTTACATACCAATATATTTTATATTTACTGCAGCGACTCATTCCGCTATCTCCTTTTAACCGCTCCACCAATTTCTACGTCAATATAATATTAAGGGGGAAGGGGATTGTTAGTAATGGAGACTGAGAATCCTATTGCTAGCAATATACCCAACCAGGTCGACCTCCTCGCGGTTCCCCCTGGAAACTATCATGGTTAATTCCTGATGAATCCATCACGATGGGCTAACTGGCCTGTTTTCATTCTCATCTATCACCCTTCACTGGTGCTCCGCCAGCGTATCCCGTTAGCGCAGGCGGGGTTACCATACCATTTTCACCCATCAAAAAAAAAAAAATATATAAAGACTCTTTTTCGTTTGCTTAATTTAGAAACATTGTGACGTTTGAGTTTTAGTTTATCTTACATCTATATTTCTGTATTTACGAATCCTATCTAATGTAAAATATTAAATTCTATTTAAATGTTATTGTCGTATGCTGTTTACGGGTTTCCTTCTGTCTTTCAAGTGCAAGATTATTAGGAATCTTTCAGCAAGCAAAGGTTAGTGATTAAACGCATTTGATATTCTTAGTCATTACATTATTACTAGAGGGAGACTTTGTACAAAAGTCCATTGCTTGGGTACCTCTGTCCCGTTCGTGTTTCAACCGTGAAGCATGGCTGTGTTTCGGTTTGAAGGGTGGGATATGGCGTGAATTTACTGGGTACAGAGGGATAACACCTGAGTCTTCAGGAATGGCAACGCATGAGGGGTATCATGGGCGAAACAGTATACTCTGTTATGTCCATGGTACTGCTCATGTCTATAGGCGACGGTTACCACTTTCCATCAGGTGGGCCGTCAGCTTGTTTGCCATTCTAAGTTGTATATAAAAAAAAAATTACCTACCTATGACTACATTGTGTAATAAGCCTACGCGGCAAATAGTCGCGCAGACGTTTTGCATTACACCTGTTTTACTACGTAGTTTATACCTACATAAAAAAGAAGTAAGAAAAAAAAATACTTGTGTAAAATAAACAAGAATACTTTAATTGGCATTCAAACTTTTCCTTCATACTTAACTGGACTTAAGACTTATTAATACATGGAATTGTAGAAATCAAAGAAATTAATTAACGCGTATTTAAAAAGTTTCAATCAAGTATTTACAATGATCAAGATTAGAATTAAGTACAACCAACTAGGAGGGTATCTACTTAGAGTATAAACAGTATCTATCTACTTACAGTCTATATATTTTACTACATATTTCAAGGATTGTTCGAAATGTCCGCCTCCGTTGTCGATACACACACGCGTACGTTTGAATGTAACAAGTATTAGTCATGATGGTTTCCAAGGAGAACGGCGTGGAGATCATCCTGAGCAATCCAGGGCTTGCCAGCAATGTGGTCGTTAGTCCACATTACTAGCAATCTCTTTCCCCCCCTCTGTCGTAGGTTTTTTTTTATGGGTGAAAATGAAATGGTAACCCTGCCTGCGCTATCAGTATACGCTGGCGGGGCACCAGTGAAAGATAACAGGTGAGGATGAAGGCAGGTCAGTTGGCCCATAATGAACAAGAATTAACCACTATGGTTTCCAGGGGGAACCGCGTGGAGGTCGACCTGATAGGGTATATTGCTAGCTATAGGGTTGTTAGATCTCATTATTAACAATCCCTTTCCCCCCTCTGTCGTAGATTTAGCCTACTTACCTAATACAAGAACCTACCTATTACAGATAAACAATAATTTATTTTGATTCTACTAATGCAGTTGTTATTAGGAGGTTAAAAAAGGCTTCATGTGAAATTTATACTTTATTAGAGCAGTAAATATTATTTCTCTACTCTCTCATCTTCGTGTATAATATAATAAAGTATATCTTCTATATTTGCAAGTGTATTATATATGTATACTAGCTGACTCGGTAAACGTTGTTTTACCATATACATTATTTCTAAAACTATACATGAAAATATATCGTACTACAATTATTATATTCGATTGTCATCTTACAACCCTATTGCGGAATATAAAAATTACGATTAAACAACAGGGGTTGATCGTAAAAGCGTGAAAATTTTAATTTGTATGTATATTTCAATGCTAAATCATAATAAAATAAAAATAAAATTGTCAAAAAAATCAAAAAAAAATGTTAGTGGGTCACCCTTATCATTGAGGGGTACGAAAAATAGATGTTGGCCGATTCTCAGACCTACCCGATATGCACACAAAATTTCATAAAAATCTGTAAAGGTGTTTCGGAGGAGTTTGGTAACAAACACCGCGACACGAGAATTTTATATTTTAGATAAATTTATTAAAAATTAATGCCACTTTTCGTTGTAATTTTATAACTCAAGAACGGGCTCACCTATCCAAACCAAATGTTTAGGCTTTGTTCGCACTATTTAGTAGATGGTTTATGTGAAGTTTGCACAAAATCGGTCGAGCGGCTCTTCATTTATCATATTTTTTGTAATAAATGAATTCAATAAATGGCGGATCATTTTATTAATGGGGATTCTTGTGTCAAATTCAATTTGTGCTGTCAAATTGAAGTTTTCAGCGTTGACAGTACAAGCGTGTTGTTATGTCATTCATGCGGTCACTTCATTTTGGACGTGCTTCGATTAAAGCAAATTGTCAGCGATATTGATGTAATTTTTTTTTTTTATTATATCACTTTATACGTAGCGAAGCACGTACCGGGCCACTACTTTTAATATGTATATCAATTCATACTAATACTGCATTCGAGTATTCTAACACTTCTTTAAGGTTGATTGGGAGAGAATGCTTTTAGCATTTAGTCCGCTTTGTACGTATATCTTTTACTGAAAAATGACAGAATAAATTTTAATATGTAGCATGATGTGTATACAATATAGGTCTAAAAGACGGTTATGTTGCTGAATCCAAAATTAGTTAGACCAATACCGTTTTTAAAATTAGAAGAAAGAACTAGGTAAGTAAAGAAAAGATTAAAAATATTATAATCAACAATTTATTGACAGTAAACGGATAGAGAACAAAACGTAAAATCCTGAATTACAGGAGACTGATTTTAAATCGTTTAATTGTTAGGAATTAATTAAAATACAATTTTTGTTTGAACAAAAACATTTTATAATTCATTATTTGATTACTAAATCAGCATTTATTTATTTATCCAGAAGGGTTTTTTTATTCTCACCGGAAACTTCTATTGACTCACTATTGGAATTTAAATATGCTTGAGCTACTAGGATTATGAGCGGAGTTGTCTGGAATGATCTAAGACTGTACTGACGAGTCAAAACTGAGACTTTTCTATATGTAAGAAATCTGACAAAATTGAACCGTCAGCAACTTTGGTTACCATTGTTTCAAATATTGAAATAACTATTTGAAAGGCTGTTAAAATTGTTGCCATAGTTCAACTCGGTGTTTTTATTGATGAAATAATTTTAATTACTGGCGGAAACAGGCTGAATTAACGTTTTAGCATGAATCGGATAAAGAATCAGAGTTAGCATTGCTAGAGCTTCCAGAAATACCAAGGCCGGCGGAGATAGAACCGGAGTTTGCGCTACTTGAGCTATCTGAACTGCCAAGGCCGTTGGAGTATGAATTGGAGTTTGCATCGCTTGAGCTACCTGAAATGCCAAGACCGGCGGTGAGTGAACCAGAGTTAGCACTGCTTGAGCTATCTGAACTACCAAGACCGCTGGTGAGTGAACCGGAGTTAGCACTGCTTGAGCTGCCTGAGATACCACCGCCTGAGATACCACCGCCTGAGATACCATCGCCTTCGATACCACAGTCTGGGACACCACTTACTGGGACACCACTTACTGGGACACCACTGGCTGGGATGCCACCTCCTGTAAAATGTTAAACATAATTCACTTTTATATAAATTAAAATTATGACTAAAAAATAATAGGCATGACTTGACATGAATATAGATAGATAGACAGGATTAACTAATAACCTCCAGAGATTAATCCGCTTGCATCGCCAGCCGCACCTGCGCCTCCATTTGCTACAGATCCTGCAGCTCCTAAACCTGTATCGACTCCAATTGACGCCATATCCCCAGCTCCGTTGGCACCTGAACATATATCAGAGGATGCAGTGTCGCCTGCAATGTTAGCCATTCCAGAAACACCTGATGCGCCTATAGATGCAGCATCGGTAGCACCATCGACAAGATCGCCACTAGCAATTCCGTTTGCAGCTGCATCTGCTGCACCAACACCAGCTTCGATTCCAGTTTTGGCTAAAGCAGCAGCTCCCAATGCAGATGCTACTCCAACTTTGCCTACGGTGTCAGCTCCTGCTGCAATTTCAGCTCCGGTTCCACCGGTACCTACACCAATAGCCCCCCCTATGCCACCGGATATGTCCGCACCAATACCTGTTGGTAACAAAATTATAAATTAAATGAAAATTTTTATTAACTTAAATGTTAGTCTAAAAACACAAGACAGTGTCGCCGTTGACCCACTTCAGAATCATCGAGATTTTGATCAGTCGTTTATTATCCATTGTTGAACATTGGCCTCGACCATAAAGGGGAGCTTTACTAGTAGTTGCCATGCTTGGCAGGCGAGTTAGTAATCGCAATTAGACTTTGATGTTGTATTAAGAGAGACGCTACTGTCCATCCTCCAACCATTAAGTCCTCTTATAACAACTAAGGGAAAGGAAGATGGAGCCAAATTTCATCCACTATTTTCAAACTGTAAATTAATTTCCAGTTAATGCAATACTTTTGCGTTGGTATTGACTGCAATCTTTTTTTTTTTATACAACTTAGGATGGTAAACAAGCTGACGGCCCACCTGATGGAAATTGGTAACCGTCGCCTATAGACATGAGCAGTACCATGGACATAACAGAGTATACTGTTTCGCCCATGATACCCCCATGCGTTGCCATTCCTGAGGACTCAGGTGTTATTCCTCTGTACCCAGTAAATTTACGCCATATTCCACCCTTCAAACTGAAACACAGCCATGCAAACACAACTGTTTCACGGTTGAAACACAAATGGGACAGAGGTACCCAAGCAATCGACTTTTGTACAAAGTCTCCCTCTGGTAAGATCTATTCTAAAATAGGAAATAAATACGACTACAGCCTAAAAGGTACTTGCCAGTTGTCGGGCACAAACACTCTTCTCAGCAACTGACTCAGTTTCAACAGTATAATATTTTGCTCGATTATGAAATAAAGGAGAGACTTTTTTAATTTATACAGTATCTATTGCTCGTAAAAATTTTGATAAAATATCTAAATACTGAAGTTTAGTAGCTTATTTTCCACATAACAGAATAAGATCTGTCGACTCAGAACATCAATCAATTCAGATAAGTTCAATCCTTAAATTGGCCTGATCATGAATCGAACCCGGGACCTAATTTACGCAAAGCAACACCATAGAGCTCGTCAATAGTAACCAATCAAATACCACTGAATTACAAATTGTAGACGGGTACTTACCACCGAATGTTGGAGAGCAAACGGCAGAGCCGACCTGCAATAAAAATTAGTCACTTTATTGCAAGAAAACATACAGATAAATTGACAACCTAATCCTTTACTTTATGACCTATGATGTGTTTCCATAAACATATATAGAAAATGATCCCTTCCGCGTCCCTCCCCCTCACCATAAGTGGAGCACATATACCATACAAGATGAGCCTATCTCGGCGTGAATTTACAGGGTACAGAGGAATAACATCTGAGTCCTCAGGAATGGCAACGCATGGGGGGTATCATGGGCGAAACAGTATACTCTGTTATGTCCATGGTACTGCTCATGTTGATAGGCGACGGTTACCACTTTCCATCAGGTAGGCCGACAGCTTGTTTGCCATTCTAAGTTGTATTAAAAAAAAAGACACTGTGCAGATTGTGCAGCGAGGAATCGGAATCCATGGAACATCTGATGTGTAACTGTCATTCATTGGTAAGTATGCGTATGAGTCTACTGGGGGTGTCTTATCCGGAGCTGTTAATAATGATAATGGAATGATAACCCCGACTGCGTTAATGGTATACGCTGGCAAGGCACCAGTAAGGGACGATAGGTGAAGCCTATCCTGAGCCAGGATACTATAGAAATCTTAAACCGCTGCATACAGCAAAGATAACATATAGTATCTATAAAATTATAGTATAAAGCAAGGGGAAGCAAAAAGGATCCCAATGGGTAGACATGCAACAGCTTAGCTGACCCCAAACGTCAATGAAAGATAAGATGAAAGGATTTAAAATAGTTTTTTTGGAAAAATAATTTTGTTTCGCTGGTCGAGCAGTTTTTTTTTAATGACTCTAATTATATTAATATTTGACCCTGTGTTAATGACATGATAAATTCAATATTTTTTTTTTTTTTTAAATTAAGAATATTATAATAATAAAATTCTTAATTACCAGAGCGAGGAGCAGAGCGAAGCTCATGTTGGCGATGGCGAATCTCTTGCGGATGACTCCAAATGTATGAAAGTTTGTCACTTCACACCCTTAATATACTATCCAAAACAATGTGTATGACGCATTTCACATTCTGTTTACTCATGTGAATTCTATTAAAAACAGTTTAAGACATTAGAATAAATAAATAGACATTCAAAATAATAATACGCACTGTAAGTAAACAAGTGGGCTTATGATATGTATCTATGTAAAAATAAAGCCACCACGCTGTGTTGTATTAGCGAAATTATAAAAAAAAGAAACAAAAGTGTTTAAAGTGATTTTTATGAAAATTATATTTAAATATATTTTATAGAAATTATGTTGTTTTTTTTTTTAATATTCTACAAGACTGTACAGGCAAAGAGCAAGGCCCATGCTGCCTAGACGCATATTTCCATTAGTTCTTAGTAAATGAATAGACAATTTATTTCATAGGTAATTTACATAAATCTTCTTAGATATATATTGTTTCAAACGTCAAATTTCACCAATAATTCTATTTTTTTTAATAGATGATAATGGAATGGTAACTCCGCCTGCGCTAACGGTATACGTTGGCGGGGCACCAGTGAAGGATGATAAGTGAGAATGAAAAGGCAGATCAGTTATCCCATCGTGAATACACTTGGAATTCAGTACGATGGTTTTCAGAGGTGACCACTTGGAGGTCGACCTGTCAGGGTATATTGCTAGGAATGGGATGCTTAAATCAAAGTTTACTTGAACGAAAACATCTCACTCCTCACTACCAAGCTTAAGGCCATATGAACACATTAATTAAAGGTGTATACAGCTCTCACAGACAAGCGTCAATGTACACTAACTAACAATTATATATTAGAAATATATGTTAGAAACCATATGTCTAATATTACCAATAATAGATTTTTATTTGCTTAACGTATCTAGGTAGACAGTTTACTTTATCGTAGAATTATTTACATAATATACATAAGTATTTTTATAAATCGGTTTCTAAGTACCAAGTGTCGAGTATTCCTTAGCGACTATAGCATGGGGTTTTTCGAAAAGGACGTATTAAGGTGTCTGCAGGCTTGATAGCGACGAGTCGGAGATGTGGTAAGTGCGAAAGCGAACCCATGTCTCCGACATATGGCACCTCGAGGGTATAACGTCTGGTTTTTGGTGGGTACACCCCCACCTTACGGGGGGATTCCTATAGTACCCATTCACCTCCCACAAGGTGTATGGGTCTGCATAAAGCATTTTCCAGACGTTAAAAAAAAGGCTTGATAGCGACGTGATACTCCTGGTGTTGCAGGAGTCCATAGGCTACAATGACGGTTTACCATCAGATGGGCTATATACTTGTTTGTATAAAGACCTCCTTGTTAATTTAAATTAAATTAAGTCCTACTCAAAAAGCGCCAGCTGAAACTCAGCGCTGCAGCGTAACACTGAGCGGAGACTATTTCGGCAAACACTAGCCAACACATTATTTTACCATAGGGAGCCTTTGTACAAAAGTCGTTTGCTTAGGCACCTCTGTCCCATACGTGTTTCTACAGTTAAGCAGATGTGTTTCAGTTTGAAGGGTGGGATATAGCAGTGAATTTACAGGGTACAGAGGAATAACATCTGAGTCTTCAAGAATGGCAACGCATGAGGGGTATCATGGGCGAAACAGTATACTCTGTTATGTCCATGGTACTGCTCATGTCTATAGGCGACGGTTACCACTTTCCATCGGGTGGGCCCTTCAAACCGAAACACAGCCATGCAAACACAACTGCTTCACGGTAGAAACACGAATGGGACAGAGGTGACGAAGTAACGACCTTTGTACAAAGTCTCCCTCTGATAATATTCTTGTAAATGTATTGAGAAGCAACTGTGAGGATATTTGATTTCCTAAAACGATCTCGTACTGTCCCCCTTCAACCCATGCCATAAATGAAACGAACGACCCTCTTTTTTAAAACAAATATAGTATATAGTATCCGCTGCTTTACTACTATTTTGTAACTACCAGCAAAATCCTCCTTTGGCAAATGCCAGGAGGGAATAGCCTCCTGGGGGATGTGTTAATATACCGGCGCATCCCCCGAGTGGTAGGGTGAGCACGCCATCCACCTTATTTTGGGAGAGGAGACCTGTTCTTACCATCTGGGGGCGGGTCGCTGCCGTCGGAGATGTGGTGAGTGCGAAAGCGAACCCATGTCTCCGACATATGGCACCTCTAGGGTATATCGTCTGGTTTTTGGTGGGTACACCCTCACCTTACGGGGGGATTCCCACAGTACCCATTCACCTCCCACAAGGTGTATGGGTCTGCATAAAGCATTTTCTAGACGTTAAAAAAAAAGGAGGGAATAGCCTTCTTTGACTCGAGGCCGTTCCTTATGGCTATAGTCTATGGAGGAGGCCTATATTCAGCAGTGGACAATGGCTGATACGATAATGATCAAAATCCGGCAGCATACCTGCAATGCCGTTGGTATTGTGAGTGATCGGGGCGGCGGTAGTCACTTACCATTAGGTGAGCCGCATGCTCGTTTGTCCTTTGTGTTTTAAAAAAAAAATCTTTTAAGCATTTATTTTTGCGAAATAACTGTCTTATGACAAAGTTTCTACTATTTTTGCCTTAAATTTATTACAGAGAACTCGTTAAATGTATTTTAACAGTCTATTTCCACTTGTTTCCCAAATAAATGATTGATTAATCAATCGATTTACCGAATCGAGTCGATGACAACCTTCCCAAATTTGCTGTAGATTAAAAAAATACGATATAAAAGTGCTAGTAAACAAGTCTATTTGAATCGTCGATAATTGAATTGATTGATATTGTATTGCAAAACAAAAATGGACCATTATTTTTATATGAATTATGACTAATTTTGGTTATTTATGTTTATCGTTGACAAATTCATTTCAGTATTTCAGTGCTTCGTGATATGTTAATTAACACTTGTTAATTAACATATCACGAAGGATCTTTTTAAAAACAACTGGTTCTATTAACCCCATATTGTGTTTAGTTAATTTATTATAAATTAGTAAACTTACCCGACTTTACACAGGCACATAGATTTTTTAAACATACCCAACACTCACTATGTGGGGGGAAAAGGGATTGTTAGTAATGGAGACTGAGAATCCCATTGCTAGCAATATACCCAACCAGGTCGACCTTCTCGCGGTTCCCCCTGGAAACTATCATGGTTAATTCCTGATGAATTCATCATGATGGGCTAACTGGCCTGTTTTCATTCTCATCGATCACCCTTCACTGGTGCTCCGCCAGCGTATGCTGTTAGCGCAGGCGGGGTTACCATTTCATTTTCATCCATCAAAAAAAAAAACACTCACTATGTTGGGGGAAAGGGTTTGTTAGTAATTGAATCTTGCAGCCCCATTACTAGCAATATACTTTGTTAGGTTGACTTCCACGCAGTTCGCCCTGGAATGTCATCGTGGTTGATTCATGAATTCCTCACGATGGACCAATTGAATGACTTTCATCAGCACCTATCATCCCTCACTGGTGTCCCACCAGCGTATACCGATAGCGCAGGCGGGGTTACCATTCCATTATTACCCATTAAAGTAATATACTGATATATGTCTGTAAAGGTGAAAGAATTTTTAAAATCGATTCCATTGTTTTAGAGTTTATCCATTACAGAAAAAACAATCAAGTATTTCTTCTTTATAATTACTAAATTATTGACGTTTCGCCGTGTGTGCTTTGGCACAGAATTGACCACCCCTTCATTTCCCGTAAATGTCGTAAGAGGCGACTAAGGGAGGGCAAGGAATGGGCAGCAGCGTCCCTGTTAAAACATCTCCAAAGCCTAACTGCGTGGCAACAACTGGCAAAGCTCCCCTTATGAGGAAGGCTTATGTCCAGCAGTGGACAGTTAACGGCTGTAATAATAATAATAAAAAATATTTGGAAGTTTACAAAATATATTATTTTCGATAAGTTTTGTTGTCCATGGCATTATACATAATTGATCTTGGCCAAGATTTACTATGAAATAAAAAAAAAAAACAATATTACTCTTTACTAAACTGGTATGCTTGTAAATATATTGTACAAATCGTCAAACAAGCATCTGTTGAAATGTTTTATTATTTTTTTGTTCTTTATTGTACACAAATATAGTAATAAAAACATTAAATTTGAAATGTAATACAGATAGATCTTATTTTTATATAAATATTATTTAGAATAATTTCCATTTTATTACACGTATGTTACTTTTTTTATATTTACTGTGTCTAACCAGCGCCATCTACCTTTCTCTCTGTAGTCATCCATTATTCATGCCAGATTGTCTGTAAGAGATTGCTTTTAGCGATAAGGCCGCCTTTTGTATATGCACATTCTGTATAAATACTCCTTGTATACATCTCTATTGTGAGTAATAAAGAATTTATTATTATTAAAAACGAGTTTATCCTCCAACAAACCTTTTCATGTTTCTTTATGCAAAATAGTATAGTAAATAAGTTGACGTTCCATCTGATGGAAAGTGGTAACCTATAGACATGAGCAGTACCATGGACATAACAGAGTATACTGTTTTGCCCATGATACCCTCCATGCGTTGCTATTCCTGAGGACTTAGGTGGTATGCCTCCGTACCCTGTAATTTTACTGTAATTTTATTTCTACCTTTTAATCTGCAATACTGCCAAGAAAGCACAGCTTCTTGAATAACATGGGAGACTCAACATACAAACTCAAATTTTGATGATTTTAAACAAAATTCTCAATGTGTCCAAATTATTAATAACTATCTCCATAACTTTGCCTTATGCGCCCGTTATAGAATGGGTCAAATTTTCCTTTCCTGTGAGTGTTGTAAGAGGTAACTAAGGGAACTTAATGGTCGAAGGATGGGCAGCAGAGAGCTTTTGATATAAAATTCAGTTAAATACACCAGAGAGAGACTTTGAACAAAAGTCGTTTGCTTGGTCACCTCTGTCCCATTCGTGTTTCCATGGTGTTGCTCATGTCTATTGGCGACGGTTGCCATTTTTCTTCAGGTAGGCCATCAGCTTGTTTGCTATTCTAAGTAGCATAAAAAAAAGT